TGTTCTGTCTAGTGTATGCTTTACTGTAAATGAAGCAGCTTTCTGTGTGCAGAATCTCTGGGAATTCTCCCGGCTTTCCTCCTTCCTCTCTTTTGAATTTTGACAGATGAGGCTTCTGGAAAACTTATGCATCTTTTTTAGCTTATGCTGTACAATTTCAGCTCCTGGAAATGGTGGCAAAACCAAAAAACTATACCACTTCATTTGAAGCTTTAAAAATTACTATTTTTTGAGGGGAGGCAGCTCAAATGATTATTGAATCAATATATTATTGGTTCTTTTATTTTCTTTTTATCATGAGGTTTTTCTTTCTATTATGATAAAATAAAGAGAAAGGTGCTGGATGCTTTTGGTCTCACATATACTGACCTTCATGTTTTCAAGATGAAAAGGCCAATAGGAAAAGTAAAGAATCAGAGGTTTATTAACATTTCTTTAGTCATCTAGTCTCAAAAATGTATCCTTTCTCTAGATTCCCCCATTCCTGTTTGAGATATTATGATTCTTCACTTTGCCCAAGCTTGACAAAATGGAATTATCTTTGACAACTGTGTCTACTTTGCTCCATTACCAGTTGTAAAATTCCTTCTATCTGTTCCTTCCCGTTGCTTCTTCACCCCAGCTTTGTATTTAGGAGTAACTTAAGGGGAGCAAAATGGTGGATGGGACAAGAGGACTTGCTTCTTTTTATTTAGCTTGTTTATTTGTTTTGGGGTGGCTTGGGTGACCACTGCTTCCATCTGTCTCTCAAATCCTTTATTTCCTCATGCCCAGAATGCTGACTTGAATCTTTCTCCACCTCAATTTTTCCTGTATGCAACAACCAGCATAATCTTCCTAAACAAGACTTTCATCAAGTTATTCTCCAATGACTCCCTAATGCCTACGAGAGCCAGCTACCTTAGGTTGACACCCACGTTCAGCCTCCACATACCTTTCAGAGATTAGTCAATCACGTTTCCTTGCAACTGCAGCAAGAGAGAGGCTCTCTTTTGAATTCCAACCTCCAACCTTGCTCGTGATATCTTTCCTGTAAGTTATGTCCTGCCTTTCCCTATTTGAATCTTACCCTTCTTCAAGGCTTGACTTAAGTCCTACCTTCTCCAAGAAATTTTCTTTGATCATTAGATATTGCAAAACAGTATTTCATCTGATTTAAGCCATCATGAGATAAAAGACACACCACTATTTCATTCACCACTAAGATAGAAAAACAGTTGTCGATTAAACTAGGATGGATTGCTGTCTTCAATTTTTATTTTAAGTGAGAAAGCTCTTTTAGATTTACTTAAACATAGATTTAGAAAAATTACATATCACTCTTGTGCATCTATACAAATATAAATGTAATGAAAGGTTAAGAAATGTCTAAAACTTCTTCTTATTCAGACTCTGAGTCTTCTGGGATTTTCTTTCCATCCACTGTCATTCATTCCATAAGTTGTGATGCTGGTGTTTTCTTGATCTTCCCAGAAGGTGTCAGTGGAAGATTTTCAGAAAACAACCAGGACACACAGTCCTTTCTCAAATGGATCTTCAATGGTTTGTTGACTGTAATATCAAGGTGCTGCAGGGGACCTGTCATGCCATCTGGAGTGACAATCGAGTCTGTACAGACTCTGGCAATGACAACTATGTCATGATTGCTGCTGACCAACAGCAGTTATAAGGGGACGTTGAACATCAGATGCATGCAGTTTCATCATGGTAAAAAGTGGAAAAAATGTGCAACTCAGAATGGATGAAATATGGTGCTTTCTCATCCCATGGAACTCATTTACCATTTTTATATGCTGTCCCTGTATCATTGTTTACAAGGCCATTAAACTGATGAATGTGTTTGATTCCGCTGAGCCTCAGTAAGACATTCTTAGAGATGGAAATCTATGACAAATATGTAGATGGTAACTGGTAAAACTTAGATCCGCTCTTTTCCTTGGGACATACTCAGAAATGAGGAGCAAAATTTCCAGACAGCTCTAGACTGGAATTTGTGGGTTAGGTTAAGTTCCTTGGAAATTTATTCCCTACTTTGATATTGTTATTAACTGTAGTCAAACTTTTTTGCAAATAAAAAATATAGTTGTATCTTTTGTTAGGCGCCTGTGAGGATCCAGGAGTTTTACATATATTTAAATCATCACAAGTCAGGTGGGTTTATTTCTAATGTACAACTTAGGAGACAAAAGCTCCCAGAGCTAGAAGAGGACAGAGCTAGGGTTTAATTCTAGGTCTGTCTGACCCCACCGCTTGCACTTTCCTATTATGCTGCATGGCACAGTTTGTACATACAGGGCTGCAAAGCCCAAAATAGGTGACTTCATAATTTAGGGAGGAGTTTAGGAAATTTCACACTTTGGAATGTAAGTTTAAAATGGCAGTAATTCAGAACACAGATCCAAGTGAAGCTTGCACCTTCTTTTCTTTTTTCATGGCATTTTCACAACTCGTAATTATATTTTATTTATAATTGTGTATTTATTTATACTTATTTGTTTAATATCTTTCCCAAGTGAAGGCAAGAACCATGGTTTTTCATTATTTCTGAGACGTACATTTTTCACATTTTAACATCTGTGAATTCAGAATTCATCTTAACATTGATGTTGTATTTAAGTTTAATAGACAGCATTTTACTTTTTCTCTTTGTGTTCCATAAAATAATTATGCCCCTCACAATGAATGTTTTTTGTGTTTGATTAAATGTGTGCTTTAATTAGCTGCTCTATGCTTAGTACATAGTACAGAGACTGATCCCATAAAAGGCACTCACAAACGTTTGTGCAATGAAGGAATGAATGAATGAAAGTGGAACTTTCAACTTTGCCTGAAGGTATTTGGATTTCTGGATGAAGTCTCCTGCCTACATGAAGCCCATTGTCTACTCTTGTTTTCTTGTTCTGTCTGACTTGAGATTTGTGTATGGCCAGTTTTGTCCGCCTAGAAGGGTACATGATCCATCCAGACAGGCCTGGAGAACTTAGCTTAAGAGTTCCTGTAGGAGGAGCCTCGTCAGCAGAAGCTGTTGCCTGGTGGAAACTACTTGTAGGAAAGCCCTCTGGAGTCTCCCACTGAGCTGTGTTTAGCTCCTCTCCAATGACCAGAAATCAGTTTTATTTCAGGCAGGGAATTGGGTGCAGGTGGGCGGGTGTAGATTCAGGCTTGTGCTTGGCTTTGTTTGTGCTGCTAAAGGACATTTCTCAGCAAGCCTCCCTCAGTGGTCTGGGACCTTCAAGGGAAGACCTTAAGATACCTACCATCTCTACCTTGCCCAAAGGGGGTTGAAATTCAGCCACAGAGGTTGGAAGACTTTACAGTTTACTGTGAAGCCTCGAGAGAGCCATGGTTATGCCTGCCAAACTCAAAATGAATGCCATCAGCCATCTATGGAAATCTTCCCAGAAAGTAACTCTCCCCAAGAGATAACGTTGTAAATGGGCTGCTGATGAAATGAGGATGGTGCCTAAAATACTATTAGGGAAGCACCGATTTAAATGTCACTAATGAAAGATAGGCGGTGATATAATGAATTGTAACCTCTGTCCTGAGGTCATGTATTGACAGAGGATTCTTAAGACTGATACTGAGATGCTGAGCCAGGAGGATGAGAAAATACTGCTATTTGCTGGTGACGTTTCAGCATCCCACAGAGGGGAATGACTTCCAGTCTAGATAGTGTCTTCATTCCTAATTAGAACAGAAAACAGCCGCTTACCAATACCCGGAGGCTGATTTAAAAAATATCCCATAAACAAACTCTACCTTCCTGTGCTCTAGTTGTTTGCTTACCAAATAATACTCAGGTCTAAATGTTGTCTCTTTATCAACCCTACATATGGAGGCCACCCTCCAATGTTGGCTACTGACCAGGCGAATCTCCCAAGTTGAGAGACCAGATTGGCAGTAGGTGTCTTAAAACCGAATTATCATCCTTGCTTTCAAGTTCATCTTGTGAGGTTGATTAGCAGGATATTAGCAGGACGAGGTCCCTGTTTCCTGATTATCCTTGGATGACTTGATTGGATTTGAGTTCCTAAACTGGAATTCCAAGGACTAAATCCTGGATTCAACAAGCCCAACCTTAAATGTCCTACCTTTTATTCGTCTTGCAGAGAGAAATCATATCTACTGGATCTCTCAGATCACGTTGGCTGTGATTTCCCATCGTGTCTTCACAGGAAGGATGATCAAGGTGTTTAGACACATAGAATAAATTACCTTGGTTTATTTGTATGTATAGCTGTGTGAGCACAAGTAATTTATGGACACCATTTGCTATTTGCATATGAAATAGGCTTCTTGTTCTTTATGAGGAGAAAATGGCTCCTTTGGGTCACAATTAGCCTATCTGACAATTAGTCACAATTAGCTACAATGCTGGTGGTTAATTGTGCATGCAAAGTTGTTTAGACAAAGTGAGACTGAATTTCTTCAGTCTTTATTCAGAGCAATTTATTCAGAGCTGTGGCTTCTCTGCTTTCTATTTTGATATGGTTTAACGTTTCTCACTGTTCAAAGAAATTATTCAAATATCTCTATTGACTCCCACCTTATTGTTGGGCGGTGTAGAGAATCAAACGAACCTCAGAAGTGTTGCGACAGAGCAGTTCAAATGTTTGGATTGGTTGATAAACATGATTAAGAGGCACGGTTAAACTGCATAGCATATAAACAGTATTACCCTAACAACACTAGGCTTTGGGACAGAGGAGAGGCTCAAGGGGAGAGACTCTAGAAGGAAAACTTGAATAGTACAGGTGCACTTTTAATTTTCATTTTGTGTGCATGGTGAATAATACATGCAAATTAAAAATGTAAAAGTGAACTTCTGGTCCTCCAGAGGACTCTTCATTTGAAAACCTGTTGGATGATGGGTAGGTCTCCCAGGAGTTAGAAGATCGTTCTGGAAGAGTCCATCAGCTGAACAGGTTGCTGTGATGTTTAGGACTGCTAGGAGACAGCTCTGGAAGCAGAGCGTCACCCGCGTTTTAACGGTAAGGATCTGTCGTCTGTAAGATTGCACGTGGGTCTGGGACTATCATCTCTCACACCTCTGTGGAAAAATACCTAAAATAGTTCAGTTACACACTGGTGAACTTATGAGAAATATATTCGTCTCCTAACTTTTGGAGAGTGCATAAGGCTACATGTTGATATTTCAAATTAAATAAAAAAGGATTGGCGTCTTTAGACATTTCTGTACCTCGCTGCCTAACCTCTAGCTACTTTTAGAAGTACACACTACATCTTCTGGGACGATGCTTGCCTGAGGGAAAAAAACACATTCAAGGTGCTTTTGGGACTTCACATTCTTTCAGACTCATAAGCTTTTGTTGGCTATGACAGACAGGTAAGGCAGAATCTAGGCTGCGAGCTTTCTAGGCTCTTTGGAATCGCCCCCTTGTTCTATATGCCTGGAAATGAGGTCACAGACCGTGAGATGCAAGGATGTAGGTTTGGAGTCACACTGAGGAATGAGCTTCCCCAGCATTGGGCTCAGCTCAGCAGCTCTTTATTATGCAAGTGCAGAGACAAGCATTTGGAACCTCTTCCCCTGCTGATTAATGTCAGAAGAAAATGGAGGTTTCTCTAGGACTCCCTTCTCCACTTTGACCCATGCTTCCTCAGGGCTTGATCACCGTATCTTTTATGCATCCCCAACAGCCCAGATGATTCCATCTAGCCTTGCAGCCTGTTTCCCCGACAAAACAGCAGGAATGCTATCTCTGCATCTTCTATGCATATTTCTAGAATGTTTCTGCATTCATTCTGCCACCTGCCACCCTCCACTTCCCTGAGCCCCATGATTCTGCTGCATCCTTCCCAAGGTTGACATCTTCCAGCCAAGCCCTTGAACTAGTTTGCCTGCAAACACTTATTCATTCTTTAGGACCAAGTGCAAGCGTCGCCTCCTCTGAGAAGCCTCCCCGACACTTTGAGGAGGAGGTGAGAGTTCTTTCCCTCTGCCCTCTCAGTACTTCGCTTCCGCGGAGCCCTTGTCACATCACTGTAGTGAAATGACGTTTGTCTACCTGTCTCTTTCCCTCCCTAGATTGTGAGTTCCTGAAGGACAGGGGTGATGTTCTCTCCATTTTTATACAGCTGTTCATTAATGCGGAGCCTGATACTAATACCCCTCAATTTGTGCTTGCGCAATAAATGGAATGAATTGAAATTTTCTCATCTGGATGTTTTTCCTGTCCTTTACTACTGAGTCTAAAACATTAACATCAATGATAAAATCTTGAGTATAATTATTGAATTAGAGTCTTCCTTGGCAGGAGCTACCTTTTGGGAGTAAGCTAAGTTTTTTGGAAGTTTCAAGATATGTTTAGGACGCTGGTTCTGTTCACACCACTGAAGTACGATATTAACAGAATTACGTTAATCATGTTGCAGTATATTATGTAAATAATTACATGTTTTCAATTTAGTGCACTGATATGACAATTTGTTAAATGATAAAGTCGTGAACTAAATAACCAATGGCAAAGACTCCAAAACTACTTAACGTATAAATCTGTTTTTATTTAATTTTGGTCTGGAACTATTACTTTAATGGTGCTATATTGTAACTAGGTTATTGTCATATAATGACTCACTTTAGCCAGAATATATGTGCAAGTAACAACCAAACGTAACATAAGCTCTATGGCGTTAGAAAAGTCAAGCCACATATCCTTTTTCCTGTATAATAACCACAAATGCTTTTCAATGAAAAAACTTGAAATAATTCTGTTTATATTCACTCACTTATTTGCAAAAATATGGTCCAGATATGATATCTGCCTTCTTTATGCTTTTCTCATAAAGAATGCTTAGTACCAAGTTACAAGTGTACAATGGACACGAATTCCAGACTTGTGGATTCTGTTATTCTTTCTTTCCCTAAAATTAAACCGAAATGTATAATTTTGTTGGTTGACTTTGTTGACTTCCAGAAAAAAAACAACTTGCAACATTTATGACAGCCCTCGACTTAAATTCATCTGCTTGCAGAGCTGGTTTTAAAATGAAGGAAAGTACTCCCCCTGCTGTGGGGATGTGTGGTGTTCTGTTTTACGCTGTGTTTATTTCTGCTGGGGAATACTGCTGCTCATCGAGTTTCAGGTTGCTGGGTTTCTCTAAACAGGGATTTGCGTGGGAGTAGAGACTGTGGGGGGACAGAGAGGGCATGCTGCTCTGGGGAGGCTCAGCTCCTTCCTCTGCTGAGCAACTCTGCAGGGAGGCGGCCAGTGCCCCCGTGGGAGTGCACAGTAGAAGCCAAGGCAGAAAAGAAACTTTGCTTTCAGAGAGCGTTTGAAAGCTGAAAGGATGTCAGTTTTGCTATTCTCTGGCAAAATAGCCAAACCGGTTTCAGTATCCTGTGTTAATCAGGTCTGGGCTTGTTTGGCTCAGCAAAGAGATTTCAAATATACAGGGCAAAAGAGTTTCCTTGGAGCTTCAGGAGGTCAACGGCTCTAGGATTTAGCTAGTGAGCGGGGAGGGTACAGATGCTGCTTGTTAATACCCAGGTGAATACTCTTGAGCCTGAATGAGATAATGCCCAAGATACCCATGTGGTAATCATGTCATAGCTAGACCCCGGGGAATGTAACTCTAAGTGTAAAATTCACCCATTCCACAAATATCCATTAAATGCCTACTTTGTGCCAGACTCTGTGCCCCACGAAATGTCAGGGTAGAGTACGTCTCAATCTCATGGAGTTTAGAGACGAAACTTGTTCTATCAATTTTTCCACAACTCTAGGAACGAAAAAAAAAAAAGAGATCTAGAGTTGGAGGGACCCAAAATTTATGCCCCTGGACTTTCTCTATTAAGTTCCTACCTCAAGTGAGAACCTGGTAGAATGAATCGATCATGATCAATTCATAAAATGATTTCCTTTGGAGAAGTGTGCTTGCTGGGCTGCATGTTAGAATCCCCAGGCGGGCTTTTGAGAAATACCAACACCAAGGGCCCACTCAGGACAAGGGAAGTCAGTGTTTCTTGGGGGTGGGAGGCCCAGGCATCAGTATTTCAAGGCTCCCAGGTGATTCTAATGAACAGCCAGCTTTAAGCATTTTGGTTTATTTTGATAAATAGGGGTAGTTTGGAAATTTCACCCCTGAGTCATATATAAAGTGAAGTGGCATATTATATTTTGTCAGCCTATGGGTGAAAGCCACTTGAATTATATGGCCCCTGCTGCCAGAGGGAACTCTTGGAATTCTGTGAGAGAGGTATTCCTGATTTTGGAGTAAAACCACTGTGGGGTTGCGGGAAGATAGAATATATGCCCCTGTGAAGGCCTGATAAATCTTGACCAGGAGCGGAAATTTGGTGTGCAGAAAATGACAAGTTAGAATTTGGATGATGGATCTTGTGGGGAGAGGAGGCTGTGGTGATGGGGATACCCCTAGAACAGGTTTTGGGGCGGCTTGGCTGAAAAAATCCCATGTGGTAAAAGCTAAAGAGGGGACCTTTTATTTGCTTGGAAAGAACGACAGATAAGGGAGTTAGTCAATGGGGAGATTTAGAGGCCCTGAAAACTCCAGCGAAAAGAGACAAGATTCCAGAACTTACTTTTCTGACACAAGAAAATGGATGGGACCTTCGCTGTTTAAGTGCTATCTCTTAGCAATGGAGGGAGAGTGCAGCTCTTGTCAAATAAAGGAGGGCTTCACTGTAGCACCTGCTGTGAGTGGATCAGCCAGCGTGGAGTGTCTTTTCCCTCCAGAAACCACTTTGCTGAAGTGCTCTTAATGTGGGGAGATGCGCAACACTTCCTCTGCAGCTGTGGCCCTTCACCTGGAGAAACGAAATGAAAGAGGACTAAGAGGCGAGACGTGAAAAGTACAGTTAGGAGTTGAGAGTTGCTGAATTGTGGTTCTCCCAGCCAATTAAGAGCAGGTTTGGATGGTCCAGGAAGCATCACGCGGCAGCCTCTCTCAGAGAGGAAATAGGGCCCTGTGGGTTAAAATGAAGATGCTGGAAGACGAGGACGGAGGTTTTTCTTCGTTGGAAGACATGGAAATTGGGTTAAGTTTGTAGAGAGGGCTCTACATGGAAATGAGTAGGAGAAATTGCTTCTCTCAGTTTCTGTAATTCGACGTGTTTAAATGGGATGTAGGCTAAGTGAGGTTAGGTATATTTGCTGTAATTTGAGGGAGAGCTATGACCCATACTAACTGTAGAATTTCATGCAGTGCTTTATGCTCAAGTCACAACAGCATCGAAGATCTGGGAGCTTATTGACTGAACTCTGAGCCTGCAATCATGGACTCACATTGAACCAGAATAATTTTTTCCAGCCCTTAATTACTTGAGAGTGACTTGTGAAATGATTAACTTGGTTAATTTATCCACTGATCAGGTATCAGTTGAGACTCTCCTCTCTGCCAGGCACTGTTCCGGGCCGTGGGGTATTGCAAAAATCCAAGTAGAAAATATCGCTCACTGTGGAGCTGACACTCTTGTAGGAATGGTGAGATTCAGTTGATATTTATCTTATTTGACTGCTCAGGTGGTAAGAAGGATCAGGTTAGGTATAGGGCAGATAGGTGAGCTGAACCAGCCTGGGCCATTTGGATATCCTCCTTTAAAAAAGAAAAGAAATACAAATTTTACAAGTAACCAGGCATTTCAGCTGGGCATATACTTTGAGTAGTTTTCCTTTCTGCTCCTGAATTTGCCCAGATTCATCCACAGTTGGGGGAAATGGAATAGAGTGAAGTTAGCTGGCCTAAAATGATCAAACACTGTCCTTGGCCTCTTTCGCTACATGTTTCCTTGAGTGATTAATTATCTGTGGACTTGAGATTGATGTTGGGAACCAAATCGAAATCAGTCTCAGAGGTATTTACTTTGGTGATTTAAGATAAGGAGTTTCAACTGTAATTCATAGACTCCACATTATTCACCGTTATCTCTGGTGGGGATTTTAATCAATGTTATACTGTCTTCTACTTAACTGTTTGTTACACTGCTATATGCATACATATACATAAAAGAACAAAACACCCACATCAAATAAGTAGAAATATATTCATTGAAAAATATGCAACAGACCCTCATTAAAACTGATTTCTTTTTCTTTCTCAGATTCAGAAATGCAATAAGGCTAATTGTGTTGCCTAGAAAAACTGATTTTTTTAAGCAAAGAAATATTTTTTTGGCTGAAGAACCCATTCCTTGCCCCTCTCACTTTGCTGTTCAAAGGCCTCGTATGAGGATCTAATGTATTCAGTATGAAGTAGATAAAAGTGAAGCTGTTCAGGAGGAAGCAGCCATGGGCCGGGGACGCACGGAGCCCAATCTACCAGCTGCCCAAGCAGGGAGCTCACCTCCCAGGCACTTTTAGGAGTCAAGGGTGGGGTGGAGAGTTGCCATTCACTGAGACACAAGAGTGTGGTGGGAAAGCTGGACACAGGGTGTGCCAGTTGGAAGCAGCAGTCCATCCTGGCCCTAAAATATCACTGATATAACTCTGAAAATGGTAGTACCTTAACTCTGGTCTCTACCCACTATAACTCATGAAACGTATACGGGGTCTAGAGTGCCCTAGATAACCCTTGAGTGGAAATTTAAAGAAAACATGTTGGGACTGGCCCCATGGCCAAGTGGTTAAGTTTGTGTGCTCCACTTTGCTGGCCTGGGGTTCGCCAGTTGGGATCCTGGGCGTGGACCTATGCACTGTTCGTCAGGCCATGGTATGGTGGCATCCCGCATGAAGGAACTAGAATGACCTACAGCTAGGATATACAACTATGCACTGGGGCTTTGGGAAGAAAAAAAAGAGGAAGATTGGCAGCAGATGTTAGCTCAGGGCCTATCTCCTCACCAAAAAAAAAAAGTGATAAATCTTGATATTCTGTGCCCTCGATATGATGTGGTGAAAATGGCACTAAAAAAAAAGAAAATATGTTTATGGAATATCAACTTGAATGGACGCAAACTTTTTAGTTGCCTGGGACACCCTGCATCCTGTCTTGGCCCTCCAGACACCCCAGGGCTTGATCCCCAGCCCTGCCACTTACTTGGCTGTGTGCTCTTGGGAAAATTGTTAATAGTTCATAGTCTTGATTTCCTGATGTGGAGATGATAATGTCTGCTTTGCAGGGCTTTTGTGACAATGAAACCTAAACACAGTAAGTAAATGATGACTAGCAGATCCATAGCTAGCAATGTAACCAGGAGAAACAGAGCAAAATGCCCCCTAACACCTTTAGGAGGGTTGGGGAAGAGATTGTCTCTGCTCAGCCACAAAGGGGCTCCTAGACCTGACAGCTCCATCCTCCACTTCTGGCTGCCAGTGGCATCAATGGGGTGGGCCTAGATCAGAGACAAAGTTGCCAACAGGGCTTTCTAAGGGTAGAGGGAGCTTAAACATTTGTACAATTAAGAAATCGTGCTAAAAAGGTTTTGCTTCATCTAAATTTTGATGTCCAAGGTCAAAGCCTTGGCCATGCCATTTAAATTCAAGTGCTGATTAGTATTGTCTCAAGACTGCACCCAATTTAGTCTTCACAAATACCTTTTGAGTTTGGACTTTTCTCTCCATTTTACAGGCAAGGGTAAGGTCTCTCACGTAGTTGGGGATTATCAACCTAGAACCAAAATGAAATGTGTGTAGTTCGTACACAGTTTATACCCAACCGTGTAGACCTGGGCTTGGGTTCTACAGAGTGAAAGGCAAAGGTTAGTATATCAAAAAAATTGGATGGGTGGGTTTGTCATGAGAAAAACTCACAGAGCTTCCTCATGAAAGTATGTGACATTGGGTCTTCACTGAGATTTGTATTTTAAAATCTCAAGTCTCTGGTCTGTTTTAACTTTTGAACCAATGAGAAGCAGCCCAAATGTTAGAGAAGGAATGGAGCTTAGCTGTCACTTAGTCCAACACTTTGATTTTGGAGTTGTGGAAACTGAAGCCTGGAGAGATTAAATGACAGATGCAAAGTCTTGCAATTAGTGGCAGATTAGGACCAGAACCTATGACCCCACTCTGACACCAGGGCTTGATTGTTGCCCGGCCTTGAAAGCTGCGCTTGTTTCTCGTGAGGTAGCACGTCTATCACTCTCGCATTCCAAGGTGGTAGTAATATACCCTGTCACCAAATTGCAGAAAGAGTTTAATACTGTTCTCGATTCCTTTGGACCGTGAATAGGTTTCTGGCCATCCTCCCCACTCCTGTCAGCTGGTGCTTGCTCATGCAGCGCCAAACAGTTTTAATGTGACTTAAAAAAATTCTATAATTTCCTTGTTGCTGTCACCCTGCCCTCATTCTCCAAGTGTTCTAAACATTTCAAAGGCCAGCAGGACGAGCCACCTCTGGACGGCTAGTCATCTGACTGCTTGTGGCTGCAGTTCCTTAGCAGCCAGAAAGCTGTGGGTTTAAGTTTATGGACTGACAATGCACTGACCGGATCACTAAATATTTGTTTGACGTTGTTAACTTTTTGTGCTAAAAAAAAGTCCCTTATTGTACCAGGATACCTTAGTACAAGGCAATGAAAGTTGAGATTGATAAACATTGTGGTCTTTTGTCTGCATGGCACTGGGGTTTACTTCATATTACTTGCCATTAGGAGATAGAACAGTTTATGTAAGAACATATTCAATGCTGAATGTGCTTTTTAATACAGCTCTGAAGGCATTTACTGTAAACACACATTGATGATTTGCTTTGTATACATAAGCTGCTTTTGGAAGTGTTTTTCCTCTGGGATATTGAAATAAAAATAGAATAATTAGTGTTCTGTTTTAGGGACCAATCTCTCCTTTCCTACATTAGAGTATATAAATATATATATTTTAAAAAATATATGTATCTTCTTTTCCTTTGGAATCTTATAAAATCAGGTCATGGAGTAATGTGTTGCCATGGCAGAATCTTATTTAAGCGTCTGTATTCTTTGCAAGCCTTCGGTTGCTTTACGTCCTGACTCTTGGGGCTTTCTGTTTCTTCTCTTTCTTCTTGGCCACCCAGCATTTGCCATCTCATTGTTTTGTTGCTCAGTTCCTGGCACCCCCGGTTGCCTATCGTGTTCTCAAGCTGCTGAAGACATTTAGTACAAACTCAGAGAGGTCACTTGAGAAAAGCCTTTTATTCCTCCCTGCTAAGAAGGTAGAAAACAGTCAAAACAACAGGAGATCTTCCTGATTTTAGCCACATTTGAAAAGAGATTTAAATTTACTTCTATGTGACGTTTCTGGACTATATACTTTGTGTCAGGACCTGTGTCAGTTCCTTTTTAGAGAAATGGCAAGAATATAGGTAAATTGTTTATTTTTTTAAACTTAAATGCCCCCTCCATCCGTACCCCCAATTCATTCTTCTCTCAAGTAGTCCTTTCAGGCTCAGAAAAATGTGTGTAAATTGCATAGGTCTGGTGATGGCCTTTCAATCACTTTGAAATCTCTAACTTTTTCCTTTCTACTTTTTCTTAAGTCTTTTGTATCTTAAAAAATTCTCCTCTGACTCTAAATTCCTCTCTATCTACTAGTACCACACCTCTTTCCTTTATAGTCATGTTTCTGGAAAGGGTATTTTATATTCAATATCTTTGTATTTCTCTTTTCCCAATCCTCTTTTTCTCAAATCTACATTCATTTGCTTTCTGTCCAACCAATGAAATTATTCTCATGAGGATTACTCTATCTCTGCTGCATAACAAACCATACCAGAACTTGATTGCTTACAGCAGCAACAACTGTCTATGCTCTCTCTTGGGTGGGTGACTGGGCTCAGCCAGGTAGTTCTTCTGTTTCACATGGCATTGGCTGGGTTACGGTCATCTGTAGGCTTCACTAGGTTGGAATGTCCAAGACAGCTTGAGAGTTGGTGTGGGGGTGTCAGCCAGGAGGTTGGCTGGGCCTGTTGACCAGAATGCCTTGGTTGTTCGCTGTGTGGTCTCGCACTGTGGCTTGGACTTCTCACAGCCTGGTGGCTGGGTTCCAAGGGGGCATTCCCAAGTGCAAAGGCAGAAGACAAAGGTGTCTTAAGGACTAGCCTGAGGAGTTTTACAGTCTCACTTCTCTCCTCATTCTTTTGATCAAAACTGGTCACAGAGCCAATAAAACTCAAGAGGAAGGGAAATAGAGTTAATCCCTTGATGGGTTGGTGGCATGATCACATTGCAAAAGAGCTGTGGGATGCTGCAGCCATCTTGTAAACACAGTTGCTAAGGATATCCTACTTGACTCAACCAATCCTCCATAACATTAGAACTATTGGCCATTCTCCATGGTTACTGGTGCTGCTGCCTCCTGGTTCCCTTTCTATCCCTCTGCCTGCTTATCTTCAGCCTTCTCCATTTGTTCTTCTTTCCCTCCCTATTCCTGGCATGTTAGTGTTCCCCAAGGTTCTTTACCTTCTTGTCTTTTCATTTTCCATTTCTTTCTTAGAAAGTCATATCCACCCTCATGGTTTAAACTTTGATTTATTCATTCATTTGACAAATATTTATTGAATAACTAGTATGCATATACCACCTGCACAACCCCAAAAGATACCATTTACATTGGAGTTTTTATCTTGGCTGTCCATGTCTGTGCTTATTTCCAGCATATCTATTTTATATCATAACAATAGTTCTCAGTGGGGGGTGATTTTGCCCTACAGGGGATGTTTGGTAATGTCTGGAGACATTTTTCATTTTCAAAACTCAGTCTTGGGGAGCTACTGGCGTCTAGAAGGTAGAAACCAAAGCTGCTGCTAACTACCTCCAGTACGTAGGACTGCCCCTCACAGCAAGAATGATCTGGCCCATAATGCCAATTGTGCTAAGTTGAGAACCTCTGTCTCTATCTGTATCTGCAGTGCAATTTCTCCTTGAGCTCCAGATCCACATTCCCAGTGGTCTGTCTCTCTCAGGCTCTAGGAATGCCACCATGATCCACCTGATTGGCCTTCCTCCCTCCAGGCTCACATCACTCCAACCCACTTTGCACAGTGCTGTCAGAAGTACTGATTTTTTGATGTAGCACAGACAGCTAAACATCTCTCCTGATTTGAAACTCATCAGGGATCCGCCATGGACTTCAGATAATGTTTAAACTTTCTAATGTGGTCCACAAGATATTTTATGATTGGATTTCTTTCTCATTTCCCATTGTATCTTTCTAGTCCTTTTTAGTTCAGCCATCCTGCCTGCCCTGTGGTTTCCAGAATGTGCTGTGCTTTCTTATGCCTCTTGACCTTTACATGTGCAGAAATGCCCCTATGGCAGGGAGTGTGGCCATCTCTCCTTCAACTCTAGGCTCAAGCCACCTCTTCCTGCAAGTTTTCCTGTATCGCTCCCTCCTATTCCTCAGCCCCAGGCTAGAGTGGGGGCTCCTCCTTTTTGTTCCTTCTCTGAAGACCCATAAATGCCCCTGCCTATGTCTCATTCCCCTGTAACAACCATAATGCCCTCCTGTTGTATTTGCTTTTTCTGCTTATGGCCTGCCAACCAGACTGGGAACTTTTTTGAGGTCACTGGATTGCCTTTGCCTCTACAGTGCTTGTACAGGTTTGGGGTTTAATAACTGTTTGTTAAATAAAAGAAGGCATCCAGGGGGACCACTTCTCCTCTTCCAAGTAGGAGCTACTTGGTGTTAAAGATACTGCACTTAATTCAAGAAATGAATTGGAAGTTGCATATTTACCAATGGTATAATGGTTGAATAAATTATGGTGAATCCATGTTGTTAAATATTTTTCAGCTATCATATAGGTTGGAATAGTCTGAATTAAACCAGAAAGAAGTCTGTGATGTATAATTAAGGGAAAAATGCACGAAAAAATTTTTATGGTATGATATAAAGAAGACACACATCTCTATACGTTTGTATATGTTTGAGCATTGCGCATATGGAAAGATATGCTTCAAACTGCCAACCTTGTTTACATTGCCTCATTATTGTAATTAACAATCAACAGTTAAAAAGTAAGCAATGGTATTCAGAAATTAGTTTCAAGACCAGATATGAACTTGTAGATAAACAATAAAGATAGGAGATAGTGTATAAGAATATTACTTTAGTAGCTTAGGGAATGTTTACAAAGTGGTATCTCTTTTCTTGTGTGTATATTGAATGCTTATGTATGCATAGAAATAAGTCTGTAAAGATTTAGAACAAAATATTAGCAGTAATACTTTCTGGGTGGCAGATGATTTTTATTTATTCTTTTGGCTTATCTGTATTATTTAATTTCAGAACAATGAGCACATCTTATTTTCATAATAGAAATAACATTCTCTCTAAAAATAGAAGATAGTACAAAAAGAACTGGTACCGTTTCACTATCTCTTATCTGAACACTCAAGACTTGAGAAAGCAACACTAGTATGAAGTTATTACAAAATGAATCCATTTGAGAACAGCAGTTACTACATAAGATTTTTGTTCCTTTCTTGTAGCAACGACTGAAGGAAGAGAAGGAAGCCAAGCGGGCACGTTTGGATGGTCGGCATGACTACCTGTTTGCCATTGTAGCTTCCTGCGTGGACCTGAACAAAACTGAAGTGGAAGATGCCATTCTCGAGGGGAATCAGGTGCGATGCATTTGAGTTCTCACTGACTTGATTACAGAGGGCGCAGAGGGTCTGTTGACACTGTCCTATGTCAGGATCCATGCTGAGCCTCAGAGGAGGGCATCTGTTTTGACATGGACAGGACTCCATTCTGACTCTGTAAAAGTGATGGCAGGATAAGCTTAGGGCTCTCCAGCTCTCCATGTTGAATGGGAACTTATAATTGTCATTTGAGTTCCACGATTCTGACCATGATGTCTGCATCTCTCTATATCCAGTGAAGCCCGGCTGAGGTACCATTTTGGAACCAGAGGTTGCAGAACA